TTTCCTATTAGCTAAAATAGCCAAAAACAATAGCTAATTATTAGGATTATAGCTCCAGGAAAAATAATATTTAAATCATCCATATATGTTCAATGAGGAAAAAGGGATTAAATTATTATCTGGCAATTGCTATTTTAGTCTGGAAAATGAAAAAAAAAAAGTTCATGGAGAAACACTTGGAGATGTGGATAGAATGTAAACAAACTATGGGCCTCTCTAGCTGGATTGAGCCCAAACAGCCCAGAGTTACTTCTCAGCCTTGATACATTGCACTGTTCAAATACAATGTTCTCGTAGGTCAGAGAAATAAGGTGTATTTTTCTCCAAAGAAAAACAGATTGAAAATTTATATTTCTCCCCTGTCACATCCTATTCTTCTAAAGAGCCAAAGCAAAATATATGGCAGAACTAATGTAAGGCCCTGTATTTTTATCCCTATGTATGCGGATCTATAACTGCAGCAGTAAAACTTTCAAAATCAAATGACCCTTTTTATGTCTACTTTTATTTGTCTTGTATTCCAATTGCAAAGAAAGTCTATAAAACAGTTGCACTCTGTAACTTGTAATATTCAATTCAAGTTGTCAAAATAATGAAGGAATAGCTGTAGTTTAAAAATAGATTTGTCTATGACCTTAATTAAAGTAGGTAAAAGAAATTAATTATTGAAAGAGACTTCACTAAATAAACTTTATCTGGACTTAATTTGTAGGCAATGAAAAACAGAATTTAGGACATTCTTTTTTGTGTGCAATTTGCCTTCTAATGAAGTGCTTCCTAAGATTTTTTTCAAAGATTAATGTATTCAATTAATTTCAAAAATCTTCCTCATTTGGCTATCTCTTATTTTAAAGTTGGAAGTTATCTTTAATATTTCCATAATTTTTAAGAAATAAATGAATGGATAATGTTTTCTTTTATTTCAATTTCTGAGCAATTTTTTCATTTCAATTTCTGTTGTGTGATCAGTGGATTAGTGTGGTTGGGAACACAGGAATATAGTGTTGTGAGCAAATTAAACTGATGCAAATTAGAATGCAGTACATTTTACCAACAAGCAAAACTATGACTCTATCAGCAACAACAACAACAAAAATATGGAATTTACAATGCTGACTCAAATTCAGATTACTTTTACACATCAAAAGAGCATATTTTCGGGCTGGGATTGTGGCTTAGAGGTAGAGTGCTTGCCTTACATGTGTGAGGCACTGGGTTCGATCCTCAGCACCACATAAAACTAAATAAACCAAATAAAGGTATTGTGTCCATCTACAACTAAAAAAAAGGGGGGGCCATGTTTTCAGTTTTCCTCCTCAGATATTTTTCCAGGAAGATATTGTTTGCTTGCTGGCTGGATGGCTTGCTTCATTTGATTACTTATTGCTTTGGGACACAGAAGTTCTGACCACGTCTCATAGATCTACCACAAGTGTTCTTTCTGAGATTATTTTACCTATGAGCTAAATGGTTGAATAGCTGATCCCTAAAAACATGTCTAGATCTATGATTCAAGAATACTTGAATTAGACTATAATCTCTCAATCTTTTTCACTTATAGAGCATTGTGTTTTTCCATATCTCATATTCTCTATTTCTCAGAGCGGTAGGCTAATCTACAACTTATCTTCTCACAAGACTGGACGTTCAAGGGGTAGCCAGGCTCCAGGGTGCTTACTGATGTCTCATCTCTCTGGTATTCATTATCTTGTGTAGTCCCATAACAAAATGAATTAAGATTGGCTCTGTTTGACCAATAAACTGAGCAGAATTTATAATGTGGTTTCTGAGGTTAGGCCAGGAAAAGTATCACAGCTTCTGCTTTGTTTTCTTAGATAACATGCTCTGGAGCAAGACAGGCACCATTTTGTACGGGAATCCAAGAAACCCTGCGTCTAAGCTTTTAGCCATCAATCCTCATGGAAGTGCATTCTCCACTCTGTTCAGGCACTCAGATGACTGCAGTCTTCTGACTCCAACCACATAACTCCAGTGGGAACTGCCCTGTCATGCTCTTCCTGAATACCTATCCTAAAGAATCTGCAAGCTTAATAAATGGTGGTTTGTATCACTGATTAACAAGTAATTTGTTACATAGCTGTAGCAACTGGAATGTAGATAAAATATGATGGTTGCAAGAGAAGAAAATTATGATAGACAAAATACTTTCCTGTCTTATTGATTCTGTGTCACCATAACGCAAATAAATTAGATTTTATTTAAAAGTAAATATATATTCAAAACCAATTAGTTACTTAATATTCTAATAGACTTCATGATCTGTGTTTGTGCAGGGAGGTCAGAGTCACTGAGACATAATTATTGCTCTTAAAGATCTCAAAGTGAAATGGGAGAGGCAGCTTTTGTGCTAATGGTCTCAAGCCTCCTTTCTCTGCAACCAAGAGAACAAACTTCTAAACTCTAGAGAATTCTGCAGCTGAGATGCTCTTCCCTTCCTGGGCTTCAGAGAAAAGTGTTGTTGTCCTTTGAAACCTTTAAAATGTAAATTAAAGAGGAAAGGACATGACCAAAAGAGGATAAAGTCAGGGACAGGGCATGGGGAAGAATCTCCAGGCAGAAGAGAAAGAGAGATTGCCGCAGGTGGGGGCCAAAAAAAAATTGGTAGGAAAGGTAGCAGAATACAACAATTACTAATTGGGCATTATGTAAAATTGTGGATGTGTAACCGACGTGATTCTGCAATCTGCATTTGGGGTAAAATTGGGAGTTCATAACCCACTTCAACCTAATGTATGAAATATGATATGTCAAGAGCTTTGTAATGTTGTGAACAACCAATAAAAAAAATAAAAAATAAAATAAAAAATAAAAATGTTCCATAAGTAAAAAAAAAAAAAAAATTGGAAGGAAAGAAAAAAAATGAATGGAAAGGCACTGGGTATTAGCACTGTCTTTAATAAGATGTACATAAAAGCTAAGATTTCCTTCATTGATTTATGTTTGCCCATTTGAACTGTGCATTGTTGGTGCCTCTGTTCCGGCACTGCATGCATTGTAGGTTCTCATCATTATAAAAGAAAGTGTAAAATGCATCTTAGCATTGTGTTTTGGATTTGCTACAAAAGGAGCTACCAACTTGTCCAGAGCAGTCACCAGAATTCATGAAGGGGAAGTGACGGTGAAATATCTGCAGGACCTGGAGATGGAAACTCACTCCTACAAGACTGGAGAAGGGAACAGGAGTGCCCACTTGAGTGAGACAGGCAGGGACAGACATGGAGGGGGTTTGTCTAATGCGCCTTTATCTTCTGACTGTTTGTCCTCAAACAGGGGTCCAGGGAGGTGCTTTATCAAAGTCCCTCAGCGGTTAAAGCCTAAGCTTACTGAAAGCCCACTGAGTCAACCTCTTTATAGATATTAGTTCCCCCAGGGAACACTCAGGCAACCAGGTCTGAGGCTTCTGCTGAAGCATGCGACAGCAATGGAGGATTTTTGAGCAATGAATGAAAGGATAAATAACATGATCATAGATGTCATATAGAGCATTATTTCTGACCAGAGTGCTGATGATGGATTATAGGGAAAAAACAAGCAAGCTAGGAAGCACGGAAGGAGATTCTTCAGCATTGGTTGTGGTAAACAATGAGGATCTGAACCCAGATTGTGGTACTGGCACAAACAGAAAAGGAATGGACAAATTGATTTAGAATCAATAATATTTGAGATTGATAATTTATGGAGCACATAGTTTATACATTAAATCTTCAGGGACTTCTTGGCTCTGCACCTATATCCTCTATCTGGCATTACCTAAGTCTTTTAAAATGAATTCTTTCATTTTTACATCTATTGAAAAGAGTTTAAAAAATCTAAGCATGAGTAATGGCAGATACTCCATAGAAATCATTCACACTTACAGAATTAGCTAGAACATCAACCTAAAAGGATGGAAAGTTGATATCAGATTATTTCTCCTTTAAATGAGAAGGACCATCAAAAAGGAAGAACACAGTGAGACACACACCTCAAGGACATCATAATTTTCCCCTAATAATAAAAGAGCTTCATTGATTTGAAAGAATATTGGCCACCACCTAGATCTTTTTTGGTAAATATTTCCAAGATCAAAACTTAAGTTTTCACTCAAATCAAAACATCATTTTGTGCATGTTAGATATTTCCAGGAAAGAAGGAGAGCTAAATACACTGTGTATATTAGAAACAAAACTCTGTCTTATTATGTTCTCTGTGCTGGGGATTTTATCATTTATTTATCTTTACTAAATCTACTAAATAAACTTTATGATCTTTGTATCTTTGTTAAATTTATCTATTTATTGATCAAATATTTATAAGGCACTTATAAATGTTCCCAGAATTATTTGAAATTATGCATCTGTGTGTGCATGCGCATGATGCTAGGGATTAAACTCAAGGCATTGCACATGCTAGGCAAATGCTTTACCACTGGGCCACATCCCAGCCCTTCAAAATTCTTAATATATACAATTGGTTCCTCTTGAAGGTTTGTCTTAATGTATCTTAATGTAGTCAGAGTGTCTCAGGCACTAAGAGGCTATGTAACTTGCCCTGACTGACACAGTTAGAAGAGTCAATTTGAACCCAGGCAGTTTGGCTCCAGGATCTGTGCCCCTACCCACTTCTATAATGTATGCTTCACCAACATTTGCTCAGAAAAAGAAGGGGAAAATGAAAGAAAGAGGCGATGGGGGTAAAGAAAGTGAGGAAGGAAAGAAAGAAAGAAAGAAAGAAAGAAAGAAAGAAAGAAAGAAAGAAAGAAAGAAAGGAAAGAAAGAAAGAAAGAAAGAAAGAAAGAAAGAAAGAAAGAAAGAAAGAAAGAAAGAAAGAAAAGAAAGATAGGGAGGGAAGTGAGGAGGGAAGGAGGGAGGGCCCGGGGGAGGAAGAGAGAAAGGGAAAGAAAAGAAGAAAAGAGAGAAAGGTCAAATTTGCTACATGGTTCATAAATTCATGAAGTAAATATCTTGAGTTCCTATTTTGTGCCAGGAATTGTATTTTACCATCTCTTCAACATGATCATATCTTAGGAAATACGAATGATCCATATTGATGGTGATGATAGCTAGAGAGCAGGATTTGGTTGAGCTGATCCCATGAGACCATTATTTTCAAAACAGAGTTTATGTTAATGGAATCTTCTGGAACATTTGTTATGTCATTAACTTAAGAATAAATAGTCAATTTTCTAGAACTAATTTTTAAAGTGAATCTTTGGTCATGAATATTTAAAATCAGTACTGACTACTAATAACAAACTTGATTACCTTTTCTCTGTAAAGAAGATCCCAAGTAGGTAAATGGAATATATTCACTAGATTGAGATATCAGGATATAATTAGGAGATTCCAGAAAGAATTTTATTATGAGTAGGAAAATAAAACTTCACTCTGAAGACCTGATACATCACCATTAACTTGGACTTCCAGTTGGTTGTTTTATACATAGACGATAAAGGTATGATCAAAAAGATAAACACAGAATTCTCTGTCTGGTTTGCTGAGAGAAGAGTTCTTATAATCTTGCTTCCCAGTTAATCCATAGAGCTCTCCATTTACTTTTAAGTAACAATGAATATTAGACTGTAAACATATTGAGAAAAGGGAACTTAACAATATATTATTAATACAACCCAGAAGACAATATTATCAGTTATAAAGTGAGTAAAATTATTCTTGGGTATCCCCCCAAATCATTAATCCGAAAAAAATACACCAAGCCCATGTTATTGTTATTATGACCTTACAATTTTTCTGGACATCTCTCATGGGAAATATTTTTTTAACCATTGCCTCATTATAACTGTTCAGATGAAGAAGTGGAAGAACATACTTCTTTTATTTTCCTGGAATATTTTGGGCTACCTATTTATTTGGAGAACTTTGAAACAGATTTTTTCACTACAATGAATACAAGGTAGCAATTTAGTACCAGGTCTATAACAAGAATTATTTATAACAACACTGAATAATGTATAAGTTTAGACTGTGACAACAGTAAGATGTCTTTGGATAGCAATAAAGAAGGAGCCTTATTCTGAAAGAATACCTTAGAAGTTTGTGAAAGAAATTTCAGCCTAATAGAGTTATGAAGAAGAATCAAATATAAATGAGTTAGTTGCATGAACAGGAGAAAGTTCTAAGTGGCTCTAATATCAGGGAAACTCTGCAGTATGGATGATTTTATTCATTCCCAACTAGGTATTCTAGCATTGAAATGCTGCCTATTGTGCCCTTTAAATTATCTCAGCTGAACCTGATATTTCCCCCCTCCATATATTTAAGACAAACTTAGGATTTTGGTAAGGACAAATAGGTCTATAAAACTAACATCATTTCCGCTCTTCTTGCTTACATTTTTTGATATTATTTTTTTCCATAGCAATTTCCTTTTTTTGGAAAATAGTTATTTTACCTGGATTTTCCAGTGGAAGATATAAAGTTGTCGTTCATGCAATTCAGAATTAGAAGCTAATTAATATTTTAATGCCCATGATTGATAATATTTTAAAAGTTTAAAATTATTTTAATGTTTTAAATTTGAACATTAATAGTTAATATTACTTTTAATATTAAAAATTCATTAAGATATTTGGTCAAAGTCTTCAAAACAGAAAGTAGATTTCCAGTTGATATCCAGAGCTAGAAAAGGTGTAGGTTTCTTAATCAGACAACATCTCCCATTTCTCATTGCTTCTAAATAGTCTGAGGACTATCTAGTTTTATTGGTTCTTCACCATATCTATCTGTAGATATTTGGTCTCAAAAAAAAAAAGAAGAAGAAGAAGAAGTTTTTGGCTTTTGAATCTCTCTCAGTGTGTTTAGAACTTGTTCCTGATTACTCTGATTACTTGTTCCTTTTTTCTTTCTCTAAATTCTTTGGGAACAATTTAGAGACACTTCCTCCTTATTTTTTCTTTACCAGTGACTCTTCTGTGGATGGTTTTCTGAAAGAAAAAGACTGTAGTACTACTACAAAACTTTACAGCTTCTATAATTCTATAAAATAGACCAAAGAAAACTCAGACCAATTCCAATGGTAAAAAAGTCAATCTTGCCATGATACATTTCAGAATGATGAGATAAAATGTTGATGCTGTTTTAGATATTTAATATATTCCCTTAATGATGGTTCTTTTCACCTCTAGAATGCTGATGCAGGGCTTGATGCAATATCATCTAAAGTCAAATTTAAAACATTAAATTGTGGATGCTCCAAGCCAGGCATTATACATACTTTGAATGAGAAGGCTTAGTTACAAAGCTAATCACCTCAGAAATGTGACTCCCTCCACTGCATGCTTTCATTTCACACCCAGGGAGCAGACAGGAAAATCCCAAATGGAGGAGATATACAAACAGGTTTCAGTATGCACACACTGCTACCCTGGGGCTGGGTATGTTGCATATTTGTGTACATAGTATATGAATGTGTGCAGAGCAAGTGGGGATTACAGCTGAAATACAGCATAACTAAATGCACTGCTAGAGAAAAAAAGACCTTACAGGAGCAAAATAAAGGTGCAAAACACCTTTTAGAGTGTGCTTTTATGTGACATGCCACAATGTTTTCTAATTGTTATAATGTGAAAATCATTAGAATAAATAGAAGCAAATTTATTTTCCTCCCTGATTCCTAATTACAATATATAGGCTACAGATAATAGCCTTTTTCTGTTGTCACTGTTTAGCAACTTTGAGTCAGTTTTTAGCAGTCCACCCTCTCCATTGTGTGATGCTATAAATTGCAACACAATTCAGCACATCAGTGTGTAATTTCCCCCAAGGTTTTATAAAAATCATTAATATAAAACATTAATGTGAAGGGCTGTAGGCCTTTTTTTTGTTAAGAGTTTAAATCTATTGACTTGTAACTGGCTTTTAAAATGACATTTTTCCTTGCTGCCTTCAATTCAGTCCAAATTTTAAAAAAATAAAATAAAATAAAAAGATGCCAGATGTCATGAGGCCAATAAGCAGGTGGGCCGAAGCTTCTGTACCAATTCAAACTGGCACCGCATCAAACCTGGTGGGTATAACCTTTAATTCACTGCTTCCCTGGCACCAGATCTAGTGCCATCTGCTCAGCCTTGCTAAGCTGTGCTTGTTTCTGTGCAGGGACGATGCCAACAATGCAAACTGTCTCCTACATGTGCAGGGAATCATCAGTGCAACTAGTTTTTCGAGACCCATATGGTGGCATCTGCGAATGCACACTGTCAGCATCGCTGCCTGTACCACCCTTCGAGTTTTAAGAATGGGAGGAGAGAATGCCAGTTTGTAATTCACTGTAGAGAGCCAGAAGGAAAACTTTTTTTTTTCTTCCTTCTGAGTGCTTTTCCTGAGGTCTTTAGAAGGGAGCACCCAAGGCCTTGGAAAAGGGGACTTTAGCTCCCAGGCCAAGAAGCCCAGAAAGCCTCTAGGCACTGTCCCCAGAAAAACCCCTCATGTCTACTACAGAAGCCAATGCCCCCTCCCTTTGTGCACCCTCACTCCAGAAGGGTATCTTTAAAGATTCTTTCTTAATTCCCTTAAGACTTCAAATACTAAGATTCAAAGAGAGATCGGGAAGGAGTGTATCTTGTCCTTACAGTAAACAAATGGAGACAAGAGAAGAGATTTGGGATACTGAGTGTTTTTGAAGTATGTTCCTTTATGAAGAATGGGCCTTTATGTGCTTAATCATTTGACATTATTTTCTGAGCATGTGCGTGCACACACACACACACACACACACACACACACACACTCAGATTTCTGCCTAGTGAAATAGCTGTAGAGACTTAAGCCAGTTACCACAGAGCCCAAGTAAAATAGTGAACTTTCTAGATTTGTGTCCATGGAAAACGCCTCTCTCTGCTTCACATCCCAGGACAAATGCTCTGAGCCTTGCTTTGAGTGGACTCCGAGAGGAAATCTGACCAGCTCTCTGCTGCTAAACCAATAAGTACAGATTTGTTAGTTTTCTTGTTCATTACCTGTTTCTCATACTTACTACAATTTCCATGAAATGGAGTTTTCCTCTAACTCGCCATTCTAAATCCAACTTCTGGTGAAGTATCTCATGCATAGTATTTAGTCAATAAGGACATTTAAAAAAATGAATTTATAAACACAAATAAAATTCTGCTTTAAATACTCTAGGAGAAAAAAACATGTTCCTGAATACATGAATAATAATATTTTTATGATCATTACTAAAATATTTGTCAATAAAACTGAATTAAAATTGCTATTAATAAGAAATTATAAATAAATGATACTATTTATTGCACACCAACTCTATCCTGAATGTTTTGTTCACCATTTCATATTCTTTATCTTATCTTATAATTTGGCAACCCTATTAATTACTAATATGACCCTCATTGTACATATGAAAGAACTGGCTCTGGAAGGTTTATCAGACATCATTAGAGCAAGAGCCAAATCCAGAAATTTAAATCACAACATTAAATGGTCTCTGCTCTATCAAAATATTTGGTAAATTCAGCCTAAATCTAATGAAAAAAAAAAGTGTCAGACAAATAGGTGTGTCTCTACCATATGTTAGGTTTTGTTTCAAAAGTTTTCTATTTATTAAATTATTATTATTTATGATTATTATTAAAATAAGAATTTGGGGAAGGTATACATTTAACTTTACTTTCATTTCTTTAAAAAAATTTCATAATATATTACATATAAAATATATATGTCTCACTAAGGACCCCAAAATTCTCAAGTACAGAAAATATAATTATCACTCTGTTAACACCCATTTCTAATGGCTGCATTTCTGTATATATGGGAACTCCTGACTGCTGTATTAGTGCTCTCAATACCATCTGGCAAAATGAAGATCTTGAATTATTAGATAGAATCATTTAGGGAGAGGATCATAATTGTAGTGTGATATTTATCCCACACACATTTGAGAATGTTCATTCACCTAATAAATGATAACAACTAAAACTAAAGAAAGAATATATTTCCTAAATAAAAAAGAACTAAAAATAAGTTAGTTGTCACCGATACTAGCTATTGCTATATACAGTGACATAATACAAGCAACACAATCAGAGCCTAAGAGTATGGCTTCACCAAAAGGAATACATCCCATAAAATC